CTATTTTAAATGCTGCTCCAGATCTGCCAGCTGTCTGTCTTTTGGAAGGAAATTATTATTTGCTAAGCCAGACCCCTAAACCCAAATCACCATAGTCCTGTCTGAATTGTTGGTATTTCATTTATTAATAAGCGATATCTCTTCTTCCTCCTCAGGAATGTTCTGCGCAAGCTCCTGACCCAGCCCCAGCAACTGAAGGGAGATGTCCTCTCGCTGGAGGAGATTTTAGCTGAGGGAGTGGAGAGCGACACCTCCAGCCAGGGCAGCTCCAGCGAGGGGCAAGTCAGGCTATGTAAAACAAGAATGAAGGCTCTGCAGGAGGCCATGTATTACAGTGCTGAGCACGGCTACGTAGACATCACCATGGAGCTCAGGGCACTTGGTAAGGTGTTTTCTTTATTTTAAGCATTGTGCACGTTTAAGGCGTGAAAAGCTTTTTCCTCTGCCCCTTTCACTTGGAGAAGAATCAGTAACCCCAACTGCAAAGCTATCCCAAACTTATGGGAGCTAGCTGTCTAATTCAATAAAAGCGTTTAAGGCTCCCCACAAGTTTTTTTTCAAATTCCCACTGATCTAGGATGTCCCTTACTTCTGGCTGGATCCTCTGTTCCCAAGTATCAAAAGCAAGGGGCATGTCTCTTTGTCAGATACTCTGACACCTACAACTCGGTGTTAAAGAGGCTGGTCTCAAAAACAAAGATAACATCAGAGATTAAACGGTTTAAGGTGAAAGAACAGATTTGATCTAAAGGTAGGAAAGAGAAGCTTTGAAGCTTGTGTGTCTAGACTGTTTCAGGTAACCAGGAGAAAAGACCTCACACCATGTTTGTGTAGGGTTAGGTATTCTTACAAGTTCAGTTCAAATTTATTTTGTAGTTCTGACTAATCCTGAAGCTAAATACACACAACAGGGAGTCTCTGGTCCTTAACAATCAGCAGAAAGTTCCAAGTTATGGTCCTGCTACCAATCCTTTGCTGTTGTAGATAAGTCACTCAGTCTGCCAATGACCCAGTTCAGTCATCTTTAATATCAAGACAAAAACGTATCTGCTGTTAGGATGTACGTAAAGCTCTACTTCAGCGCCGCTAAGTGTTAGTAATAGCAGCAGAACCATCTACTGACAGGTACTTCAGCAAATCATCATCTTTCACTGTCCTTTTTGCTGTGGCTACAGGAGTCCCATGGAAGCTCCACGTGTGGATCGAGTCACTACGGACAACCTTCTTCCAGTCCCGTTACTCAGTCGTACAGACCCTCTTACGGGAATTTGTCACCATTAAGGAAGAGGACTATAATGAAGAACTGGTTAATGAAGGGTTGCAGCTCATGTTTGATATCCTCAAAACCAGCAAAGTAAGTATTAGTTTCGTAACAGTATCAAAATCAAGTGTTTGGTTTTTGCTATTGTACGAGGTAGTGCACAACAAGAACAAGGGAATGTCTATGCAAAGTCCCTAATGAGTTATGGTAGGAAAGTGGCCCTGATAGCATTTATCTAAGTTCATATGCAGTCCTCACAGTAAAGACACTAATTTCAATAGAAGTGAAAGCTATTCTGTTCAGCAACTGGCTTTGGAAACCATGCGAATGTAAGACAAAGAGTTATCAACACGGTACGGGGCAATTCAGGTTCTCTCAGTAGGATCTTCTAGGAGTTTTCTGAACAATGCTTTTGTTCAGCGACATTTTCCTTCTGCTTTTTTCTTTGATTTAAAGGTTGCCTGTGACTGTTTTTTCGTTGCTTTTCAAGGCATGTCTAGAACGGATTTGATCCATGGTATATAGTTTAGCTGTCCCGTTTTGCAGATAAGTTCACCCAGTCTCTACCGTCTTCTCTTCCAAGAGGCTGTTGCCCTTCATGTTAGGAGGGGGATGCCCGCCTTCTGACTGTAGATGGGATACATTTGAAATGCACAGACAGGAGAAGCTGAGGAGTATATACAGCTCTGGATACCTCCATAATTGGTCACTACAACATACGCTGTAACTGCCCTTTAAATTAAAAGCTGGCTAACTAAAAACGATTGCAAACTAGGGACCGGAACTTGGTATCTGACAATGAACTTACACCGTGAATCAAAACTTGCTGAGAACACGCTTTGTGGGCTTGCCTGTTACAGAGCAAGAGAAAGGATGAGCTTTTGCTGATGGACTCTTTTTCCCTTGACGGAGGTTGGCCCGTAAACTGTTGCTGAGAGAATTCTATCAGAGCATACTTGTTCAGATCACGCTCTTCTCCCTCTGTTTGGAGGTTATTCTTGTAGGGCGCAGTTGCTATAAGCCTCAAGCGAACTGTTACAGCATGTTTGAAACCTGCTCAATGCAAAGTGCCGATTGATGATACCTGTTCCATCCTCCTTACAGAATGACTCTATCAATCAGCAGCTTGCATCCATCTTCACCCACTGCTATGGCAGCAGTCCAATACCCACCATTCCTGAAATCCGAAAGACACTGCCAGCTCGGCTAGGTAAGGTGCTCACCTAAACGGTGACGTTCTTGTGACTTTTTTAAAAAGCATCCACAGTTTCAAAAAACATATTCACCCTCTTTTTTTTTTCCTCCTTACTCTAACAGATCCTCACTTTCTAAACAATAAAGAAATGTCTGATGTAACTTTCTTAGTAGAAGGAAAGCTATTTTATGCACACAAAGTCCTGCTGGTGACTGCATCTAACAGGTGAGTCGCTTTCCACAGCTAAGTGGTAAAGGAAGGTTTGGCCCTTTAGTGTGTCATTTGTGTGACTAGCTGTCCCTCACTCACCGCAGTACGGCAGCTGCTAAGGATACAACTACAGACCATAATTCAGGTCTGCAGGACCAAGCCACATCATCTTTGCTACTGTTAAGAATAATAGGAGAGTAAAGATGAGTTTTTCTAGCCACTCCCAGTATGTGTTAGAGATTCCCAGAGCTCTACTGACATAAACTAACCAGTAATTATCCATAAAAACCTGTGCAGTAGTCGGAGCGTACGTATCCTGCCATTCACTGCCTTTCCATTCCCCCTCTCAGAGTTTGCTAGCTAGAGCTACACTTGCTCCAGATGTCCTGGAAATCTCACCCCTGGCCCGGTACACTTGCAGTTACTCATTTCTTTCTCTGTTACTGGCACAGTAACAGTGTTTTGCAACTGTTACAGGGTGGGATTGGATCAGACCCAAGCAATTTACAGGTTAAGTTGTCCCTGAAGTTCTAAACTAATTGTCATTAAATTGAAAGAAATGTTTCAATTTTCAACTTGCAAACCAGAACAAGGAAGGCTCTTTATTTTCCCTGTGCTTAGGCTGTTTGTCAATAGGTAATGAGTATGTGAAGCGCTAATACAGAAATCTATTAAAACCACTCTCAGGTTTAAGACGCTAATGACCAATAAAACGGAACACGACAGCCATGGCAGTAAGACTGTTGAAATCAGCGATATGAAATACAATATTTTCAAGGTATGGAACTTAATCTGCCTTTCTTTACTCTTTTCATCTTCTCACGTACTTGGAAGCTAAGAGGGCCAAGGCTTAATATCACAGGTAATTTGCAAGTAGAGATGGAATTAATTTCAACACACCTGTATTTCAGGAGTATTCTCATCTCTGTCAACACTTCTCAGCTAGGACCAAGCTCAAACCAGAAACCTCCAGCCTATATTCTTATTTTCTTACTAGGCAGCTGACTCCTCCATAAAGCAGGAGAAACTAGTCTTCTACTGAAAGTAGGTTTGTACTTTTAAGACACCGTTTTCATGCTGTGCTAAGCAAAAAGTAAACTTATTTACAGCAGGTGGACTGCCAGGCTTCACATTAATTCAAATCAGATGATCAGAAATCAATGGTGTCCCTTTCAAGAAAGGCTCAAAATTGAGAATTGCACTTTGCTTTTCTGACATTTCCTTATTTAATGGACCTAAGGGAGGTTCATTCGTGATGGAGAGGAAGTAGGTTACTTAACACACACCCAAGGAAAAAAACAAGTCAGTGAAATGTGATAGTTAAGTTACTCCAGCTTTCCAGATCAGCATTTCAAAGTTGGAAGAAAGGTACAGAACAGGAAAATCTGAAGTGTAGAATAGGTTGTATAACTGTTTCACTACAGGGTTGAGGCTTTTCCTTTTTATCTTTTTATAAGCAAACAAAACAGCAAAGCTGTTGGTCAGCAGTACTGTCATCGCCCATAGCGGGAATGAAGCTGACCATAAGAACATCTTTGTTCTACTTGAAAGGGGCTATACAAGTTTTGTGTTGGACAGATGACATGCAAATTTTGCAGCTCAGGCCATGACAGAAAAAGTGTATTGAGACAAGCCTCCTTAACAACATTTTTACATCAAAAGGTTTCTAAACATAAACTTTTGCTTCACTGGAGAGCAACAAATCAAAAAGAATTAAAACAGTGAAATACTACATGGAATTAAACAATTTGGTGGTAAATAAAATCAGACAAGTTGAGGAGAGATGGCATTCTACAGCAATCTCAGTTATGGTGCATGGAGAATGCTAAGCCACCAGAGATCTGTGCTCTGCTCAGGCCTCTGCTGGAAAGCAGCTTTGCTCCCCTGTAATTCCGTTAGGCCAATAAGGCAATTTAAAAAGTAGAAGCTTCGTTTTGTTACCACTAGTGTTAGAAATGGTAAGCGCAGCATGCAATCCCCACAGCTGCTTACGCAGCACCCAGGACACTGGAACGAGTTCTCTTTCCAACACCAAATCTAGCGGTTCCCTAGGTAAGACAGTACTGGTTTAGCTGGGGGTGTGCACCCGTAGATCAAAGAGCAGAAGCTGCCTCTTGCTCTCCCTGCAAACAATTAGGCCTCTTCCTCTGGCCCTGATGGGGGGGCTGGAAGCTGATTAGAAGCACAGCAGGGGAGGCAAGTGGCTGGGAGGTCCCCGAGACACACATGCTCACGGCCTGGCAGTTTCAGTGCTCCAGCTAGCTGGCAGCTCTGCGTGTGACCAGCCTGCAAGGCTCTGCAGAACCGGATCCAAGGAGCCGTTTTACAAGGACATTCGTGTTGCTCAGAGACACACTGTCACCCTCGGCCTAAAATCCTCAACAGGGCCCTTTTCAGAGCCCGAGGAAGAGAAGAGTATTAGAAAGCAGCAGATTTGCAACACTATTAAAAAGAACCAACAGTGGAGGCGAGAGCCAGCATTCCACACGATTCCCGTCTGCTCAGGAAGGGCAGCACAGCCATTCACAGCCCCTTGTGACTTCAGTGATAACAGCTTCATGCCTGGCCTTCTTCCCATTTCAGATGCTGATGCAGTACTTGTACTATGGAGGAACAGAATCTATGGAAATTCCCACCACTGATATCTTAGAGGTGAGAGTGTTTTCTTCTAAATCTTGCCAAGTGCACTGGGGCATAAACAGAGCTTGAAAGGCAAAATCCAGGAGCTAACAGCAAGCTTCCTATCCAGTACTTAACACTTTATTCAGCAACTATAACTTCAAAACACCGCTTAAAGTCTCAAAACACCGTTGCCTGGAAATAAGAGCTGCCAATTATGTTTTATTGTGTCCATGAGATGCTGGGGGTGGGCGGCAGCAGGGAGGGAAATCACTACAGTGCCTTTGGTACCCAGAGTTGGGTGGAAGCCTCCTTTGCACCATGTCTTCTCTGTCCTGGGAGACGGAAGCGGGCGTGCTGTACTTTTGGTGGGGCACAGAAGAGGTGCAGCTGATTCAGCAGGCCTGGTGCCCATAGCAGGCCAAACACCAAGGGGATGGAGATTGTAGAGAAACGACCGATTTCAAGCTGAACTTCTGCAGAGCAGCCGACGGTGCTGGATAAGAGCAGTTCCACATCACAGATAGGCCCTTTTCCAATAACGCTGCTCAGTCACGGGTAGTCTGGTGAAATTAAAGCTTGAAGCTAGAGACTACACATAACTTTTTTTTTGAGGAGAGGAAAGGGGGCTTTTAGCAGTGTAGAGCTCGTAGGTCATGGTGACAGAAGGTAGCACAAACGCACTTCCTGCAGGAGGAGCAAGCCTTTGCTAAGAGGGCAAATCTGCCTGTCACTGTAGCTAGGCATCGAGTGGCCCTTCTGCTTTTTCATGAGGACTCAACCATTAAAACAGGGAGTCAGAGGTCGTTCAGAGAGGATCGTTCAGAGAGGAAATAATCAGTTCTGTCCGTTTCCCTTCCCTAAAAGCCTTTCAAGGCTCATGATCTCAAATAGCTTCTCTCTTGTCCTGATAGCTGTTGTCGGCTGCCAGCCTCTTTCAACTGGATGGCCTCCAGAGACACTGCGAAATCCTCTGTGCCCAGACGATCAGCATAGAGAACTCCGTTAACATCTATAAATATGCAAAGGTATATGCCAAACTGCCTTATTTAAGACTCACAATGAAACAGCATGCATGCTTTCTGCAGTCTTGTTTTGGTAACTAAATACAACAGGCACAGAGTGAGCACCTGCTACGCTGGTAACTCTACCCCAACCGCAACCACAAGTGAGACGTATTCAAGTTCCAGTCTGTAAAGTCCTACACAGCCCTAGTATGTTTTCTTGTCTAAGGCAATCACGTATGAAATTGATGCAAGATCCCTACAGAGCAGGGGAGAGGTGTCTTAGCGGGCTGTTACAGCAACATCATCCAGCAAAGCCTGAGAGATTCAAATCCTCAGAGCAGCAGGGACAATTGATCATAGTACAGCAACTAAGAAGTAAACCCTTTCCTAGCACTCCTACTGCTAAAACATATTCTTTACAGCTCCGGAACTAGCATATACTCTGTTGCGTGACATAGATACTCACCTCTATAGCAAATAATCCATGTCATCAATTAAATTACGGAGAAACACTCTGCCACTTTTGGAAGTTTGCAGGGTCAAATCCTTAAAGACAAGCAGAAAGACTACACAAAGGGCTGATAACGATGTGCATGTTTACTTTGTGTGTAGCGTCGCACCGATCCTTTTTGATTCCTGACGCTCACGCTGGGCCATTTTTTTTCCATAGAACTCAGGTCCTGAAAGAAACCAGCCTAAAATTTAACAGTATGCAGTGGTAGAGAAGGGGGAAAGGAGCATTCCCGACTGGCCTTTAGTACTTTTCCTTAAGTTACTATTTGCACAGAGTTCCCAGAAACGGGGGGTGGGTGTGCACGATGCTTCTTAATACTGAACTTGAGTTTCATTGTTCTCCTATTGCTGAGCTTCCCCTCTGGTAGTGAAGCACAGGAAAACCAGATCACAGCCTGAAATCCACCTAACGTGTCTTAGCAAGGGTAACATCCCTATTTTCCTACATTCAGCTCCTTCCTCTAGGAGTTAGGTTCGCATCCTATGACCCATATTCTTATTGCCACGAGCTGTGCACACCATCTGGCAGGGCAGTGTTTTATGCTGCAGCACACGAACTCCCCGCCTGCGCAGCTAAACAGGTATCCTGGCCACTTCATCAGCCAGCTGCTCTGCTCCTTTAAGAGGAAGAGACTGGAGTGCAGGCCAGTGGCTCTGCCAACAGCAGGCCATCAGGGGAAGGAATTAAAAAAAGCTTGAATGCCTCCCTGCTCAGACCTGTGCCTGCAAAAAGCACCAAAAGAAATTATCAGCCATCACTGGTCCTACCTTCAGTGCTTTTCCACTGTTATTGCGGTCCCTTTTCTGTCTTAGAAAACATTAAAGGGAAGAGCATTAGAAAGGAGAAGAGGCTCAGGCACGTCCTTTAGGTCTGCGACATACAGAAAAGGCTAATTGATCTTCCCCTCTTCTGCAGATTCACAACGCACCTGAACTAGCCTCTTTTTGTGAAGGCTTCTTCCTCAAACACATGAGCTCTCTTCTAGAACAGGACTCATTCAAACAGCTGATCTACAGCAGGAACAGCAAAGTGCAAGGCCTGGACCCTCTGCGGGACTTGCAGACAGCCCTGGCCAGCCGCCTGCACTCTGTGTACGTCACCTCCAGGGTGTGAAGCAGGAACGAGGGAGTGGCAGGAGCACTGGTTCAAACTGCACGGGGATGCGTCGTCAGGCAAAGCTGTGGCTTTCCTGTTTGCCTTCTGGATCTTGCCGAAAGTCCCCTACAACAGATACCCCCTAGGCAAGGGTGCTGTGCCTCGTCCCACTGACGGAGGGGGAGCTGGCTTCTCTGTGCTACTACTGTCACAGCGCAAACAAGAACTGAGGATGCAAGTGAAGAACCTGAACCGAAGAGAAGATCAACGCTGCCATTTAAACAAGCACAATGCAGGGCTGTAGAGAAGTGAGGCAATTTACCTAGACCCAACACCTACTATGTAGTCTTAAGTGTCTGTCTACACACCATAATGGCCACCTAGTTCATACGCATAGATGTTTTATTTGTAAAAAGGCTGCATAGAAGAAGTTTTCTCATCTGATGGACCACTGCCCATTCAACGAGTCATCTGTCTGAACACAAAGGCTGGTGTACACAAACTACGTCGCTCTAGTAACACACACCAGTGTCCATACGTGTCAAGAGACCCAAGAATTTCCCCCAAACTGTTTGCACCTTGAGAGAGAGAGGTTTTGTAGGTGTTCAAAGCTGAGTAGAAACTAATACTAACTCTGAAATTACTCACTCTTTAAACCTAATATGAAGAACCAAGCTGGGGCAGGGAGGGGAGAATTGGTTTTTTGTATCTTTTTAACATGGTTGCACTGTGCTAGGTGTTAATCTGGATCCATTTTGAGGAGGGAAAAAAAAAGACTGTCAACCCTTTCACTGTCAAGGTTTGATAGTCCCAATCACTTTCACCTTAAAAACCTGTTTCTGAACATTATCTGTGAGACCTGACACCGTAAAAGATGCTTTCTAAAAGACTCAGGTGTAGTAGGAGCTAGCACTATGCTGAAAAACTGTCCAATGGCATAAATAGCAATAACAGTCTCGCTAAGACCCTGAGGAACATACAGCTTGATGGTTTGTTCTCTCTCTGGAGCTAGTCGGGATTAGAAGCTCTGACCTCTAGTCTCCGCTTCCACAGCCTCATCCATGGAATGATGTTGGTTCCACAGATACGCTACCTCAGGGGGGACTGGGCATAGTGCACACCTGACTGGTTCCTAGAGGTAGGCTGCAGTCTAACATTTAGGCGGCAGCACTTAAACAAGATGCCTCAACTCGAACACCCACGATTCACATTCTCCCTTTGTTCGCAGCAGACAGATGTCTCTGGTCCAAAAGGACTCCTCATACTAGGCCGCCTTCTCGCTGACTTAGGAGAACTAAAAGGAGACAGTTCAATCTACAGTTTTGGGTCTGAAGCAATGTTTTTGTGTGTGTTTTTGTATTTTAAATAATCCCAACCGTAGGAAGGCAGTTAGGTAGGTAGTTGTGTAAAAACACAAACCTTGCTCTTACCAATAGCTTTAAGGAAAGACCTTCTGATATTCCCACTGATCTTTGTTAGCACCCACCACATGCTAAGACGCTTTCATTCGTTATAGGTGGGTGAAAGAGAAGAGGAAGCCAAGTTTTCAGTGGAGAACTACTGCTTCTTAGGAATTCAACAATTTATACTGTAACTAAACACACTGGAAGGAGGAGGCTCAGCTGGGCCCAAGCTCCAAAGCGCGACATAGACATGGTTTAGGTAGACAAAGGGAAGGAGAAGGAACCACAGCATCTCCCAACAGATCCACCAAAATCTGACATCGCCTCATTCTTAAAGGATTTACATCAGAGGCAAATTGCATGCGAGGGTAAGAATGATTAATCTAGGCTCAGTAAGCTTACAGACAAGTTGGTCAGGGCACGCTCCAATTTGTGCTTTAGGTACACATCCACTTTTGAAGATCACCAGCTTCAGTAATCCTATTTATTATCAGAAAGCCATACAGGTGTTTCAAAATTATCACTGGTTTGCCTGAAAAAATACCACAAGAGGCTTTATCTTGGAAAGTATTTTCAAGTAGCTGCTCCAGCTATCTGTACAAATATGTAGGTCCTCTTTTGTTGCTGTAATATTACAATGCTTTGTTAATTGTACATTAATGTTGTCATTTATGTAAATGTACCAGGATTTTATTAACAACGTAATTTTAAAATACACAGCTGCTGTTATTTATTCTGCTCTTCTAATAACGAGAAAAACCATATTTAAAGACACTTCTGTGCAAAAGGCAGTTGCAGTTTTAGCATCTTAAATTTGTTTTGGTATATATACCTAATGTTATGCTTTAAAACAAGGGATAAAAAGGCATTCATTTCCCCTTCCTAGGCTCAAACATTTTTTTGAAGTACTAAGTTTCACTTGCGTTTTCCCTAGCTGAAGCAAGTTTACCTGCTTTCCATCGAAAAGCAGCAGACGGTAGCGTCTAAGAAAAATCCTAATTCTAGGATTCTTCTCTGCAGCAGAAGAGACAGCGAGGGTTAAAGCAGCTATTAAGCTGGAGGTATTCAAGCAGTCCTCAAAGTTAACCATCTGATTCACTCCCTCCCAAATGCTAACAAATAAAATGTGAAGAAGCAGGTACACACTTCCTTTCCGAGTCTCCTCAGAACCCGAAAGGCTAAAATGGCTCTGGCTGGTGCACTGTGCCTGGTGCTTCGCTGTGGCAGTAGCGGGATTCGTGTCAGAGCGAAGAGCATTTAAGAACACTCTGACAGCCGCATGCAACAGTACAGAAAGCAAGGGCATTTATTTATCTATCTATGAGGTAAGAAGTATACAGGTTTAATTCCGCTGTGCCAGCAAGAATTTGACCCAGAAATATCTCGGTGTTTAGCCCATAAATCTTGCAGACCCCTACCGCGTTTGGGGATAATAGCTGAGCTGTAACTCTGAATTTGGTGCTACCTCTGCAGGACTCAAATACTTTCTTAGGCCGCTAAGCACATTTCAGAGGAAACCATTAATAGGGCCAGAACCCGTAACTTGGCTGCTGAGAATCTCTTCGTAATTGTTTCTTTCGTTGAATTTCCCGCCACACATCTAAACAAAGGGAACCGTGGAGCGTATCTCTCTGGTGTAGCAAGACTTGCAGTCCAGTTCTATAAGTTACCGTCACAAGCGTTTCTTAGCGTTTGATTTACATCATCCGAGAGAAGCCTGCTGGGAATGATGCGTGAGGGATGCTTTCTCTTGCGTTGTGCCATTACACCAGCTCGCTTAGAAACCCACCAGTACAAATGCTGATTTGCTCTCAAGGATCATGGAATACAAGCACCTGAATTCCCTTTGGAGCACTTTTACTCTAAAAAGTAGATTAAATAAATTTCTTACGAAACTAGTTGCATACCACCTCTATTTTATACAGCGCTGCCCTTGGAGTCCTAGAAAGTAACGTAGCAGAGTTTGCCCAGCTTTGGGGAAGCACAAAACTTTGCTGGCCATAATTATATCATTTCATGGAACAGAGGAAATAAATAGAGCTCACACATCTGCCTGAACACGCTTGATGACTTACTTTCAGACTAAATGAAAACCTTTTTGCTTTACAATAAGCCTTTGCACAGCAGGCGAGCGCTGGCTAATGTAGCACTGCTACTAACTGGCCCTTTGCCCTCACCAAATGCTGCCCAAGCAACCAGACATTGCTTCCTGCACCTGCCATAACAGAGAGCGCCAAGGAGACACAAGAGGGAAAAAGAGAAGGAGAGTGGCGACTCCCTTGAGGAACAGGGGCAGCAAGCTGCTGTCGCCACTGCCTGCGGCAGAGGAGAGGACTGAAAAGCTAGATTTGCCTCCCCAAAGGGCGGTTTTGAGTATAAGGGATCCATTAATCCACAGCAAAGAAAATAGAGTATTGCGCTCAGCACTATTTGCTCAAGCAAAAGAGAGGCAGAAAAAAAGGTTGCTGTCATATGATGAAAAAAATCACAGCACAGCGGGGAAAAAGGCCTTGCTGGCAGCAACACCCAGTCCCAGAGCTGGAGTCATTTCAGTGCCGTCCATTTTCCTACTGTTGGCAACTAGAAAACGAGCAGGCCAGTTCACAACGGCTCGGCTAGAGTACTGCCCTCACGCACAGGGCGGTCAAAGCCCATTGCTTTGCATACGCACTCACTGGACGGGCAGCTTACTAGACCGAGCACAGGATTTCACCCAACGCTCTGGTCTCCACAGTCAGCTCAGGCAGAAGGCGACCCGTGGCCCTCGCCAGCTCTCTCCATCCTCAGCCTTCACACGCCTGCTAACAGAAAGCAGTCGTTAGAAAACGCACGCCACGAGGTACGTGTAGTTTTGAGCCCTTACCAAGAGACAGGCTCGTGATTCAGAGACTACACAGGGAAGGAGTAGTGACACAGTCAAACAAAAATCCAGCTGTGGAAGCAAAAAAAACTCCCAAGGCAGTATCACGATGGCCAAATGGAAAAGACATACTCCCTCCTGCCCCTTCTACGCATTGCCCTTATCCAGTACACCAACCTTTGCTTTCCAGACAGCTCACTTCACCCTCCCACAGCTGTGGGAGTCAAGACCCCCTCCTGAAAGCACAGCCAGCTCCGAGCAGCAGCAGGGAAGATCCTCAGCTTCACTGGTTTTACTTCCTCCCAGATACCTCACAGAGGTCAGCTCACTCCAGCTGTCAAAATAGCTCACGGGTCTCCAAGCAAGCAGGATGATTCCACTGACAACTAGGTCACATCTACCCACCACCTGCAGAGCGCTGCTCGGCTATACGTGGCTTTCCCATTTTCCTCCAATTAGCCACAGTACTCCATCACTGCAGGCAAACAAGCTCATTTGGGCACAGGAGAGGAGGAGAGAACGAACCTGCAGCAACGTGACAGATCAGCGATCCAGGGAGCACTGAAAGGCGGCCATAAGCTGACCTTGTTGGTTTAAAACAGGGCCCAAGACACTAACGCATGTGGTTACAGGGTTGTGCAAAGACCTGGCTGCCTGACTAGGAAAGGAGGAGGCACGGACAGCTGAGCTGGCTTTGCCTGCTGTTAAATGCGCGCGCTGCAATTAGCAGTACAACAGGCTCCTTCAAGCGTGCACAGCCCCATCTGCAGGGGATCCCGGTACAGAAAGACCAGGAACCTGCTCTAGTCAGAGGGAGACTTAGGCTCAAAACCAACCCGACCCCGAAACGCAAAGATACGGAACTCGCTCTCTTCTCAGC